GGGCGGGGGTTGTTTTGTTTGGTAGCTTTGCCAAGTTCACTTCCGTTTACTTTCATGGTGCTGATGCCCCCTCCTGGGGCAACTTGGAGAGAGGGGAAAGGGGCCCTTTCAAGGGAGCACCTGTCCCAGGACTTCTCAGAGGGGCTCAGCTCACGTGTATTCTATTTTGTGTTTCTTACTACCTTTTTTTTTTTTTAGGGGAACCCTGTTTTTAATTTATATGTAGTTTTCTTAATTTTAAACTTTGTTGCATTTTGGCAACAAAATTTACCTTTGCTTTGGGGGCTTTACAATCCTAAGGTTGGCATTATAATGAAGTTCCGCTTGGTTCAGGTTTCTTTGAACTGTGTGGTCTAAATTGGGAAAATATATTTCCTATACTTGTGTCTTTAAAAAAAAATGTGAACAGTGAAAGTTTAGGTTTCTATGACTGGGAAGTGGTTGGGTGTGCTTTCTCAGCTTGTTTTCTCCTTTCATTGCTTAAAGTGTCCAAGATGCTTTAAGGTGAGCTGCTTGTCTCTTTATAGTCCCTAAGTTAGGGGAAACCCCAATTCATGCCAAGGAGGGGGAGCATAATGTGGTTAGGGCCTCCCCAAAGTGACAAGGTTAGAGAGTGTTTAACGATTTTGTGTGCCATCCTAGCTTTGTTTATTTATCGACCTTCAGTTTCTTTTCTGTAGTGCTTGTAATCCTTCTTATTCTTAACAGCACCCAGTGTTGTCTTGAATAAGTTAGAGGTGGCCTTATAGAGTGCCGGTATAAATATTTGGAAAAGTGAAAACCTAAGGGATGGTGATTGGTTGAGCTTGAATTCTAGACTGGTAAAATGGCAGCTTTGTGCCAGAGAAGGAGGGGGTGGTTCTTAATAGGCTTCAGTGATCCCAACTTTTTTTAAAAAAAAGAACTTGTGTTCTGATTTTGGTAAAAGTAAACCCCCACTCCCTTCTTCTGGAAGTACTTAGAGATAGTTGTTAAAGGGGCTGCTTTTTAGATGTAAGGACTAAAATGGATATACCTCCAGTAATTAAGTAAATTTCCAACACTTCTCTTATCTGCTCCACCCCCATCCCACCTCCTTTATCATGTTAAACAGTCTTTTTGCTTTTCTTATTCCTCCTCTCCTGGAGAGCTGTGATTAAGAAACCACACCCACCCTTGAATGGGGTGCTTGAACTGGGGGGAGGGAGGCTGGCTACCTGTGAACAAACATTGGAGCAATGAGGGAAAATAAGTGTCCCTGGACTTTGGACTAGTTTAATAGCCAGATATTCCCAAAGCAGCAAAACATGGCTTTCTGCAGTCTCTCAAAACAAATGACACCCATAATACACTTGCGTAAGCTTTTAAAATATGGATCAGGGTCCTGCTATTGCAGGAGGAAAGCTGTTCTCTCTCCCCCACGTCAATCTGTTTCTCTCTCTCTCTCTTTTTTTTTTCCTCTGAGAAAGCACACACTTTTTTCCTGATGAGCACACACTTGCATGCATCCACATGCAAATACACATGCACTTTGCTATTAGAGAATTCTGTTTGTGTTCCTAAATCTGTTTAACCATTCATATATTATGAAAGCCTATATATGAACACACACACACACACACACACACACACACACACACACACACGGGTTTCTTTACTATTAAAGAATTCTGTTTGCTTTTCTAATCTGTTTAACTGTTCCTTCATGAAGAGTGTGAGGCCACAGCTTGGGGAAGGAGGTGATAGTGCATTGGCCAGCAAAACACCAGTAACCAGGGTTGAGTGGGGACTACATTTAGGAAGCTAAAATGCAAAAACAATTAAAATTTTAGAATGGCTCCCTAGGAAAATGACGAGTCTAGGCATTTGTCCCTCATTTTTACCAAAGTTGGAAAAGTAAGATTTAAATCCAGGTCAGTGTTCCCTTCATGGGTATTAAGGAAAGAAATGCATAGTTCCCATAGTGAATTGAAACACTTTGCTGCAGGGAGAAGCCTGGTACTGTAGTTTTGCAGACTCTCAAAAGCTTTTGTGTTTATAAAAATGCACAAGTTAAAATTTCAGTAGATTCAACAAAACTTAGTACATAGAGCTACAGAACTTTTTGCACATCTTATTCCTGCCCTTATTCAGAAGCTGCTTCTTAGAACCTTGGAGTAGATTCCCTGTCTGAGGGCCAATTTCTTCTGTTTTTCGTCAAATGAGGACCTTTCGTGATCACCTTGACCTTTTCCCTCATTTAGTGTGTCTTCCCAGAAAGTACATAGATTGTTCTGCTGCCTTCAGTCATTGTGCTTAATTTGCCTTGTCCCCTTTACTACTTTTTCTTTGTGGAGGAATCCAGATATGATGCACAGTGTATCTAAAAGTTGTGGCATGAAATGGATGAAAGTGGATTAATTCATTTAAAAAAATTCTTTTTTCATTTTGGCAACATGCCAAGCCTAAAAGAACAACCAGTTTACTTTAAAAAAAAAAACAAGGCTGCTGACAAAGGATACTCAGCCAAGGAGAGGCAATATAGGTAATGCCTTTTGGGGTCTAGTTGCAGAACCAACTTTCAGAGGTGTCCCTTTGTTTTCAGTCTGTGTTCTCACCCATGCCCTTCCTCTCCCTTCCCTCAAAGATAAAGCCCACCTGCTTCCCTCAAGTCTTACTACTGTCAACCACCCCACCCCTACCCAGGGGAGAGAGGTTGGATCTATTTATGGTCACCCTCTACTTCATCCCACACACTGTTTTCCCCTGGTTTGTATTTTTATTATGCATACAATCCATACTCATGAAAACAAATGAAAGGTTGTGTTTGTTGGGGGGTGGGTAGTCTAGCAACTCTTCACAGATAGCTTTGTGAAGTTGGAGAGGATTTATGGTTCAGTTTAATGTCACATGCCCCTTTCACAGTTCAGTTTTGAGCATTGTCTCACTTCATAGATTGGGGGTGAAGATTTAGAAGGTTGTCTAAAGGAACTAATGTGACCTCTTAGTGAATCAGTTGGCCAGACTTTAGGAAGGCTCTTTAACTTACATTATTTCCCTCCTCACATTTTGATGTTGTCTAAATTGGCCGAAAATAATTTTTCTTGGTGCCTTATTGGTTTATCTTTGCAAACCTTTGTCATCTTTCCACATGACTGTTCCCAATGACAGGCCTGTGTGTGTGTGTGTGTGTGTGTGTGTGTGTGGTGTGTAATTGTACGCATGTACAAGCTTAAATAATGTGCCAACAGCACTGTTTCCAAGTTGGTATTCATTAGGCTGTTTCCTCCTGGGCCAGGGCTGCACTAATCCTGACACGGGCTGCCGGGAGAAAACCTCATGGATCCCACACTGAACCTTAATAACAGCATCCGTGACCTGCACTCTCAAGTACAGAATGGGAACCCCAGAGCTAGGAAATGTAGTTGTATATTTTAATGAACTGCTATCCCTGCTAAAGAGGCTTCTTTCACTTTTGTGCTCTGCAAAGACCAAGGGGGGTAGGAGAGACAAAGCTTTGAATAACTGCTTTCTAACACCAAATGTGGCAAACAGGACAGAGAACATCACAAATCCAGGCAGGTGTGAGGTACAGTGGCTGAGAATTGCCTGCTCCATCTCTCTGCATGCCCTTTCTTGCCTCCCAAGTCCAATCAAGTGATCCTGGGAAGAAAATATGCCTGGAGTGGGGGAGGGTGATTCTGAGGGGAAAAAAGCTACCAAGACATTAAAGCAGGGCCAAGGGTGGGCAGGATGGAAGTAACTAAGTAACCTGACGCAGAACACTCAAAACCTTCTAGCAGCTCAATGACAATTGCAGGATTTATTTCCGCCAGGATAATGTCTGTGGTACATCATTTTGAGACAATATTGCTTCATGTTGTTACAAACTGTATGTATAGTATGTGTGTTGTGGGTGTGTATATACATAATATATATATGAGAGATTTAGTGACTTTTGATACGGGTTTGGTGCAGGTGCATTTATGACTGAGCCAAATGAGGCACATACCGAGTCAGTAGGTGGAGTCCAGGGCATTCAGTACTTTCTCTGATGTTCACATATGTATGGACGCTACCATGCAGCGTCCTCACTGTCGTGTCAAAGCCAGAACTCACAGATCAGAGCCAGCGATATTTTATTTGTAGACAATCAACTTGAATCTATAAATTATTATTGGCAGATGATTATAATTCTGAATCTGTAACATTAACAAACGGAAACCCAGAGCATCTTGATAAGTTTTCGTTTCTTGTTTTGTTCCTGGAAGTCCATAGAACAGCAGTTGTATGTGGTTATGTTAGTCTCGAGATACTTAATTTGCTGACCTTATTATTTCAGAAAAGATTTTGTATGTATTATATTTGTGGGAAGGTAAAATAATGGTTTGAAATTTTTATCAAATATGGAGAGTAGTTATTTATGAAAAACAAAGAAATGTCTATTTTTGTTTCTTTGTTCCCAATTGATGTAGATAAATTTTAAAGTGCATTAAAGCAATGGTAAAGAAAATAAAAAGATGCTGTACATGTCTTTTTCTCCTTAGGCTTTTATGGAGACACACACTTCTTCCTAAGAGTACCTAAGGAGATAGGTGGATTCTGACTTCATAATCAGATTTCTCAGATGTACTTAAAGCGGCAGTGTTTTTATTAATATGAAAATCAAGCAAATTCCAGTCACCAGAAGCAAAACTAATGGACACATGTTTTACTTGAATATACTTCATAGGTTTCTCCTGCCGATCCTGTGATTGTATCATGATTCACTTGAAGAAATGAAGGGAAATACACGTAAGACCAGAGACATTGCCTGAGATTGTGTTCTCTTTCATCAACCCTCCACTGTACTATCTACTGAACCTCTTTGAATAGAGGTGATGCTGTTGTTTTGTGTGTCTGGTTGGGGGGCAGGGACTCTCAAAACTGTTTATCACTCAGCAGTTAGCCTCCCAATGTGGTATCAAGCTCTAAATACAAGTCAGGGAGCCCAGATAAAAGGATAGAAATTGATTTCGAGTTGGCACCTCCCTGATAATCAGGACGGATGCTTAGTAGACCTGAGACACCACTGCACTGTCGAGTACTTTCTGCTGGCTCCTGTTCTGGCAAAGTGCAGATTGGCCACCAGGCTGTGAACCACTGCCTCATGTTCATGCCTGGTGTGTCCGTGTTCTCCCGCAAGGCTCCAGGGCCTACGTATGTAGGAGTGGCTGGGTCATTAGGAGCTGAAAATTTTGTTGGGGGGAGATCAGACAAATCCAATAAGGGGTGAATAACGATATGAGAGTATGTAATTTAATGTCAGAGTGAGTGCTGTGAACGTTATCAGATTCCTACAGTAGTTAGGGCAGTTGGGAGAAGCGGAACGGAAAATACACTAGATGAGCTGGATCCCGACCGAAGAGCAACGGTACCTTCCATGCACAGGACTCTGTGGTTGGTGCATCTTCCCGGCACTTTCACATTGCTCACTTCCCCCCCCCCATTGGAAAGGGGGGTCGGGGCAAAGCCACAAGCTGGAGCCAAAGGGGCCGTAGAGACTTAGCA